GTGATTCAAACTACCTGACAAAATCAATTGAAAGAACAGTACATGCTTCCTTATTAAGCTGTAATCTCCCACTGCCAACAGGCAGATGCATGACAACTTCCAAATAGTTTTCTAGGTATAAGTAAATTATTAAAAGAAAGAAGAGCAACACTGCTTAATTTTTTAAATTAGAAGGCAGTCTCATCAATGATGTTAACCACAAACCCTACATAAGAAAGCCAAAACCTATGTGAGACTATGCAAATCAGACATACTCAAGGGAGCAACAATTTTAGGTACTGAATCTTTAATAATTTGTCAAATACACCTGGGGATTCCTAGTTCTTCAAATTACCGTTACTTTTCAGAAAAAAAATCAGTTTAGGATTAGTAGAGAAGTATTCTGTCCTAAATCAAATCTAGGTAATTATAATTACAAGAGCAAATTCACTTCAAAAGACAGCAATCCAAATTGTGTGACAACTTAATTTGCAAAAGAATTTGGAAAAGTATTTTTAAAAGCAAGGGTCAAATTATTTTAAGTATAATAAAGCATAAATAAAATTCAACATTTGTAATAAACCAGTTCAACAAAACTTTCAAATTCACTAACCTAATATTACTTCTATAAAATTATAAAAGTAAAAGCAAAATTGAGGGGGGAAAAATCATATAATTAATCACATCCTTAACTGTAGGATTTAAAATTCATAACATGACAATTTATAAGAACACACGTCAAAGAAATGCATTCATATGTACTTTTAAAAAATTAATATACAGATCGTAACAACAAAACATCTGAGAGGCTTTATTACTTAGTCACTAATAAGATATTCCAACAAATGTGAAACATCGTGATTTGAACAAACAGTATATTTGTAAGCTTCAGAAGATAAAACATTCCAGGCGACTCTGTCAAAATAAATCAATAAATTTAAAGCAGCTACAACTAAAATGCAAAAATAAGACACTACACATCTACCAACCAAAAAGCACTGTCTGAATATAAGTATATAAATGCAAACCTTAAAATATTTTAAATGCAAAATGATACAAGTATAATCAGTAACAAACACAAAAGAGAAGTATTAAGAGTATTCCAGGATTTCTGTGATCACAGGTTTGATTTCATAAATGTAGGAACTGTAACCATGGAGTAAAGTTTTTGATAAATCTTACCAAAATTTCCTAAAATGTCAAGAGTATCAAAAGAAATACAGAGTCAAATAAAAATATAAACTGAGAGGCATCAGTCAAAGGGTCCTTTTTGCAATTTCATTTTAAAATGTACATTTTTTCATTCATATAACTTTCTCAAACGTCTATTTACTATAATTTACTACCACAAGGCTCCTCTATGGCCTTCAGTTACAAGTTTGGGTATCCTAGATTCTTCAAAGAAAAAATTTGCCTTGTATGTAAAATGGTGCAATGCAGCAATGGCTAAACCGACAAGGTCATTTTTCTACAGCACAAAAACCTAAAACCTGAAATTTATTGACAGAAAAACTGTAGTTTGCAGGAAAGGCCCCCTTGAATAAAGGTACCTTACCTTTTGACTGCTGTAAGAGGCCTTAAGTCACAACTCAACTTTCATAAATTGCTACCAAAAAATTAGGGTGTGGCATATTAGCAATCTCAAGGTCACGCTTTAAAAAACGAATTCAAATTAGTAAAATACTAAAATAAAACAGACAGCTCTCCCTGTCTGTCAAGGTAAACAATGTAAGCTGAGGTTCCCCCCCCCAAAAAAAAAAAGAAAAAAGGAAGAAAGTTGATAGCTCATACCTCGATGCATTGCTGTGTAGCGAACTGTCCTCCTCTTGGCTTTTGTCCTTATTTCTCATCATCTTTTAATTCTTAAATATTAAGGGGGAGGGGGAATCTGTGTTTGCTTTGAAGTCCTGTGCCCAGGTATTTACTGTCAAAAGTTGAAAGAAAGGTAAGGTCCCAGCTTCTATCGATGGTTTTTATTATCAGGAACAAAGTCCTGACGATGTAACGATATTGTTATAATACAACAGCGGTAAGCACCAAAAAACAAAACATTTCTATTTTTTCCTTAAAAAAAACCAAAAACGGATAAACCGAACAGAGGAAATCATCACTATCAATAAGGAAAGTTTCTCAAAGTAACACACTGGATACAAATAACAATCTCTGTATCTTATTGCGTCATCCAGGAATTTCTCATATTTACAGAAAATAAAGCAAACTTATACATATAAATCTTTAAAATTATCACTAACGATCATGGACTTACCTGATCCATGTAGTAGGTCCAGAGCAAGAGTCCTATCTAGTAGTAGAAAAATAGCAGATCCCAAATAATTAAAAATAAAAACAAAATCCTCCGTTACAAAAACGAAAAATAAATACAATAATCCTCCAATATGTTAACTGGTCAAAAAAATAAAGCAATAATTAATACTAAAACGGGTCCGGAAGAAAAAAAGCCTCATTAGGAGAGCGCACAAAAATGGAGGTGCGCCATGGCTTCTAAGCTGGAAAAAACAACGACCTGGGCTCTCAGTACGGCTGCTTCTTTCCAACAAGGCACGAAAAGAAAGCTCCTAAAAGCTGCTTTTCTCCCTTAAAAAGGTTCAAATCGACCCCAGTAAGTCACTAGGAGATGCAGGGGGCTGCGGGGGCCCCCTGAGGCTGCCCGAAAGTTAGGGAAAGTTGCGTAAAGTGAGGCGAAGGCAGGGAGCAGAGCGCGCTCTCTCTAAGGCACAGCCGCCATCTAGAGCCTCCTTCCCAGCTCTGAGAGCTCTGCCTTTGATTGACACTCTCTACATTTACCCCACAACTCAGGTGATGTACCATAGACCCACCCCTTCATCTCCACCAAAAAAAAAAAAAAAAAAAAAAAAAGATCCTCCATCCCAGGGAGCCTGAGGACCCCTACCCCCACACCTCCCTGCCCCTCCAGACCACCCCATCAAGGGGAGGAGGGAGGGTTTCTTAACCCCCTCTGGCTCAAGCACCCTTTTTAAGCCAGAGAGAAATGTAATTTGTTCCTTTTGTCTAAAGATCTGCTAAATATTTCAGTCCTTGAGCTAAAATAACTTCCTCTCTGGACAGGAAGTGGTGTTTTATCAAGCCATTTTGAAAGAGGGATAATTCTTAGAGAATATAAAGCTTAGCTTAAGTATTAATCTTTTAAAAAATTAACCCCCCCCAGGGTAAAATGGTTTCTGAATAAAAGCAAAACCTCTATTTCATAAATTAAATTCAAGTCTTGCCTTCTTTGTGAAGCCAAAAATTATCTAAAGACAAAGTTAAAGGGGTAATCTTCCATCCCAACTGGAAAACGGGGGTACAACTCAACAGCGCCTCCCTAGTGTTCAGTTGCATTAGAGCAAAAATTAAGGCAACTAGCTTTTATCTAAGAAATCTCAATTTTCCTTTAATAAAATTCTTTAACCCATTATATATAACCTTGCAAACTTCACCAAAGCTCTCATAATCACCACATATTTACTTCACACAGAGTCAGACAAAGCAAAGTTCTTAAATTCAAGAGCGTGAAACTACTATGGGCACCCTTAGGAAACAAACCCAAGAAACTCCATCTCCAAACCAACAGAACACATATATCCCAGCCATTCCCTTGTATTTCAAATCAAATTCTAAGTATATACCCTCATTTCGACAATGGCAAATTAATAACAATTGGTCCTATCTGATAGCAAGTTATCAAAGTAATGTCACAGGGTGAATTCTCCTAAATACCAACACCATTAGATCTATGGAAACAAAATGACGAAGGCCAAAAACAAATTATTTAATACTTTTCTCTCAACAAGCACCCCAAGAAAACATTCATGAATCCAAAAAGAAATAAGTCTTCCTCACATAACATTACACTATGCCAGAACAATATCCTCCCCTCACTGAAAAAAAACTATTTTGGGTTTATACCTAACAAAGGTAACAATGTTGCCTCTAGGTAGTAAAATCCATAATCGAAACCTAGTTTCAATTCTGTACTTTCCACAGAACATAAATTTTCTACCAAAATCAAAATTCAAAATTCCACTTTTGATTTAGACGATCAACCACCTCAAATCAGTCAATGAGAATACTGTACATGTATTGACCAAAGATGTGTGCATTATGGTATTTGACACTGATCGAAAATGATTCTCACCAAAAGAAAAAAAAAAAAAAACTCAAGCTCAACTAGTCCTTATTATCTGTATAATGGGAAAACAGAATCAACAAGTCATTTGGTGTATCAAAATGAAGTCTACCCCATCTTTATAATAGTTGTTAAAACTGGTATTTAGTCGATTATCAATAAAAGGACCAGCAGCATTTACCTAGAACTCAAACAGTAATCCATGACATGTATGATTTATTCCAAATTCCTAAACAGAGTAAGAAAAATACTAGATAGATTATAGCCTTATTTCGTATTTATGTAAAATGTACCACTGACATTATTGCCACCAAAATTTTAAGTCCTTTATGAATACCCTAAGGACACTTTCATATAAATCCAACATCTCTTCCCCTAATTAATATTAACTATTAAAACAGGAGGCATATGTTTAAATGTTCAGATGAATATTCTAAGACATTTATAATATTAAAAAGCATAGGTAAAAGAGACCCTTTCCATCAACACAAAATAACTTATAAAAATATTTTATCACTCATTCTGAATTTTGAGGCAAAAAGCATTTTGTTTTATAAGCTAATTACAATCTCATGGCAAACTAAAGCTCCTATTATTACCCCTTGGTAAGTTATTTTCCAAGATGTTTCATGAAAGCACAAAACAGCTTTTCAACCAAACGACCATTTCTTAATGCTGAAATAAATTTCCACAATTTTGTGAAAAAAAGACCAATCTTAATGAACCCAGTAAAACATCTTCCAGCACACCATTTCCATTTTACCAGCTTTATTCAGTACACGTTACCCCTGGGAACTGTAAAGGTCAAAGTGTTAAGGCAGTAAGTGAACGTTTAACGAAATTTCAGCTTAAAAAAAAAAAAGCCCAAACTGAGAAATTTTAAAGTGTTAGAAATTTTATTAAAGTTAACATTCCACAAAGTCATACTCATACAAATCAAACTGCAAAAACTTCCAGGCATACAAACTAACATCTGTGTTAATGTGCCATCTTTCTTCTCCAAATGTCAAAAATATACTTGTTTTAATGATACAAAAAGTCTTTGGAAAGTCAAATCCACTGTCCATTTGTGCTGGGTAAGAAACCTATGTCTTCATTCATTTCATGAAATCCATGTTAAAAGAACCCTGTCTTGGTTGTATATTATCACAGCACTCTGGTATTAATCCATTTTCCTCAATTCCCCATAGTGGACTGCCATCTTGTTTTCTCAGTGGTAGGGATCCATTTGAGACTCTTCAAGCTGACTGGGTGCTTGATGAAAACATTAAAAGAAAAAAATGCTGTTGGAATACCAATGATCTTATTCCTTCAAACAGAGAACATCCACCCACCTTGAAGGTACTCTTACCATACACAAAGGTTTAATTCTGTAACAGCTTTAAACTATGAAACTGTATTAAAGTTTAAAGTTGTATGTACTACACACTTCTCAGAGAATCATGGCAAGACTGCAAACAAGTAACAAAGTTCTACTGTCACAGATACATATGTAACTATAAAAAAGTGGCAGTGAATACTCAAATTTTACATACGTAAAGTTGTTACACTGTCAATATGAGAAGTAAAAACAAAAATTCAAATTCAAAATCCTGGAAAGCTAAATTACAGCAACACTATGGATTTTAAATTTCAGTGCAGAAAACTTTCCAAGCTTCTTCAAATAAAACTAATTATGGAAATGAATTTTGAGATTAAAAAAAGAAAAAACCAAAGCAGTGGATAACAGCATAGTTTTCCAGTCCAACAGATGTTAATTAATTTTGCTTAGATAATACAAATGGCCAACAGAGATGGTAGCATCTTCAGCTACTTACTTGAGAATACAGGAAATAAGTAGCAACCAGGGAAAAAAATGATCAAAAATGCAAAATATCTACCTGACCTATTTAATCTTTGCCATGAACTGCTAGCGTATTTCAAATTAAATACAAGTAAAATACTCCTATTGCCAAAATATCAAATGTTCCTCATACACAAACATATCCATTACTTAAATAATTTTAACTAAGGGGATTAAGTGGGAAGCCAGGATATTCTACTATTAATGATCGTGATCCATCATTAGCAAACATAATTGCAAAAATAAGTTTTAACTCTGTCTTCTCCATCAATTTTGCAACTCTCAAACTAAATTTGTAGAGATAAAGTCTGGGTGACTAGGAGATTTAAGTATAGGGCAGTTTTGCTCTTTAGGTAGTTAAATCTTAACTCCTAAACTGCTGTCTACATACACAATATAAGTATCTACTTGGTAAACTACTTGACAACCAAGAGACACTGCCACTCATATCAAAAAACGACTAAAAAGGAGTGTCACATCATCAGGAATAAACATGAAATACAAGATGTTTCTCCTCAACATACTTTCCTGATTTCCCCCTGCCCTAAAATAAGAACTACATAACTCATTCATTCTTCCTATCAATAAAGTACCTTCCATTTGAACTACTCATTACTTAAAACTAAGGGACAAAAGTATAAAGATAATGCCATCATTTTTCTTGCACTGTTAATTGTAAAACAATTTCAACCCCAATCTCTATTGTTACAATGTAAGATCAAGCTCTAAATGAAGAGGGGGATGTAAACAATATTATGGATCAACAACACTAATGTATTGTTAACGCATTATAATTACTTAAATGGCTATAGGTACAATTTATTGAGTTTATTAGTACATTAAATGATAAACTCAATGCTTTATATTATTTTGCCACAGGACAAGAGGTAAAATTTATCCAGGACATCAAATTTTCCCTTTAAAATCATTATTTTAAAATTTTTCAGAAGAAAACCTGATGACATTAAAATCATTCTAAAATTACTCAATAAAATGCACTAGTTGGTGTGACAATAGAAATTAGAAAACACTAGCAATCTGATCATTCTATCATATTATATTTAAGATAGCTTTAAGGGGCACCTACGTGGGTCAGTGGTTGAGCATTTGCCTTTGGCTCAGGTCATGACTGCGCCTTGGGCTCCCCGCAGGGAGGCGGCTTCTCCCTCTGCCTATGTCTCTGTCTCTCTACATCTCTCATGAATAAATAAAATCTTTAAAAAATATATATATATATAAAGATGGCTTTAAAAATAGAAAGCAAGCAAATGCTACCAAGACCATTAAAAATGTCATGGTCAGTCTGCACTTCTACAAAGCCAATGAAAGCCAAAAGTGAGAATTTTGTTAACAGGCAAAAGCGCTCAAAACTTATCAACAATTCTAAAAACACCAATGAGGGATTTATAAGTAAGCCATTTATTTTCATGGATTTTCTAATTTTTGCAAAAACTAAATTTGCAAATATGCAAATTTGTTACAAAATAAAAAAGAAAGTAGGTATGAGTTCTGTGAGCCTGAGTATTTTCTCAGTAACAAAATCCACAGTTCTTCATGCGTAAAATAGAAATATAGTACCTACCTCATGTGGCAATACTGAGAATTAAATTAGTACATTTATAGCTTTTACATTATCTGGCATGTAGAAAGACCTCAATAAATGTTATTTAGCTACTATTCCTATATACCACACTGATCAAAGTACATGAAGATCTACAAACTAACCTTACTAATCAAAGTAGTTTATATTCCAATAGCAACAAGATCTCTGAAAAATCCATTGGATAAATGAGGTCAATTATTTAAAACATTTTCTGCTCTAAAAAGATAATTTAATCTTGCATTAAAATAAGGTCAGTACAGAAAACTGAGTAGGGTTCAGATATCAAAGCCCTACTACTCCACATCTTTCCAATACCTTGTGAATTACTGCAGACATACTGAAAAGATGGTCTGATCTAGAATTCCATCATCAAATAGACCTAGATCTTTTGTGTTTTTATATACAGGCTTCAAGATCATTCTATGAACAGGTAAAATTTTTCCACTCTGATGTTTATAGTTCAGTTCTCCTTTTTAAGGAAAATTATTTGTTCTAAGAAAATTCTCAAAAGCAAAAGTAAGTTTCTATGGTAAGAATAAGAAGGTACTAACAGCTATCTCTTAAAATCCCTAAATATTGTACATCCAGAAATTTAAGAATAGAAAATTGAGCAAGGAAATCTCTCAAAATTCTAATTCAGTAAGTTTGTTCCAAAATCACTGGACATTGTAAAATTAAGTTAGCTGAAAAGTAAGCAATCAGTTGAAATGCAATTCAGCAATCCAATTACTAAACTGGGTTTACAAGGGGGTCCCCTAAAGTAAGCATAAGCAATCTCCTTACCTCTACTTCCCAGCAAACTCCCATTTTTTAATAGCAAAAAAAAAATGTGGGGGACAGGGAGTAAGGATTACAAGGAGTAAGAAATGATTAATGATTCTTAATTTTATTTTATTTTTGATTCTTAATTTTAAAGCAGGTGGCTCTAATAATGCCACAAAACATTAACGTTAATTTATACACTTCAAAACTCAAATACTGCAAAACCAAAAGGACAAATATAAAGTAATGATAAGGAGTAGAAATTGATTCTTCCCATCATGTAATTAAGATTCTTGGTGCTTATGACTGGATTTTAGTCTTCCTTGTTCTGGTCTTTAAATCTGGAAACATTTAATAGTGAACTTACATAGATTGTCTTACTACCAAAAGTAGCTTGAATCCTCAACAGGATTACAATGTATTAATAAGTTTGGGTCCTAAATAAAAACTAACTACAAAATTATTTGATCTCTAAGAGAATAAGATCAATTATGGTAACTAAGAAAAAGAATCATCTAAGGCTTTACAATCCAACAAATCTTCCTCACTGTCACTATATTAGTTTATAGTCTGACAAAATGTACGTGTTGAGACAGAAAGTTGTAGTTTCTTATCCCTTTTAATCTTTACTGAGTCAAAGTTTTAGTTTTCAGACATAGTTAATGCATTAAAATATAAATTTTAATAATAAATTTAACTTTGTTTTCCAATTAGACCTAAACCACTAGTCGATAAATAATGTTTAACAAATGATATACCAAAAATCAAGTTTATTTATTGAACATCCACTATGTGCCAGGCAATTAATCTCTTTAAAATATGAGGCATGAGATCAGTAATTGTACATTAGGAAAGTTTTCATCTCTGCCCTTACCATTCCCATCAAAATGTAACGAAACTCCAGAACTTCACCCTTATGCAGGATCTAGTAGCCATTTATATAATGTAAGTTGAAGTACTAATTAGAAGCAAAATTATCATTTAGAATTTACATTCTCAAATGTGATTCAAAAGTATTTATGAAACAGCTGGTATGTAATTATCGTACCTCAAAAGTTGTCATAATAAATAAATCCTTTAGAGGATTCAGCCAAATTCATTTCTATAGTTTTTTCTCATGTTGTGGGTTAGAATAACTATTTCACAGTAGTAGTAACCAAGTCTTCTAATACCAAAAGATAACTCCAGTGTGAAAAGAACTTTTTGTTGGGCTTTCAAGTTTAAGCAAAGTTCAGAACTACTTTATTTACTATAATTTTTACATTGAAATTCATGAAAAAATTATGTTCTGTTACCAAAAGAAAATCCAAAGGCTTCTTTTTGAAGTTCTACATAGAAAGGATTAAGTTGACACAAGAAATGGGTCTAGGACATGGACAGGTAAGCTCTCTTTACAGAACAAGATAGCATAAACTTTTCAGGGTTTGTGACCATTAGCTACAATTATTCTCAACTCTGCAGCTATAGTGGCAAAGGAAACAATGGATAAATAAAAGAGTGTAGCTGTGTTCTAATAAAACTTTATTTACAAACACAGGAGAGAATTTATCAATACCCAGATCTAGGATGAAATGTTAGAAACATTACTTTGCATTCTATCAGAGTTTAAGAAAAAAAAAAAAAGAGTAAACCAATAAGCAAAATTTTAATCAACTTCACACACATCTAACCATAGTTTTTATTTTTTGTAGTACTGCTTTGAGCTTCACTAAATCCCTTTATATTTCTCCAACTGACTCAATTATTCAAATTTCCAAAGTCATTGAAAACTTAAAAAACAGAAACATGAAAATTAAATAAAACTTACTAAATTCTTCCACCAACATCTATTACGTTGTACAGGCCCTTTAGAGAATTCAGTCTCTGGATTCACATTTCTGCAGGAAACAAAAAGAACCTAATTTTATGCATAGAAAAAGATAGACTACTAAAATGCCATGATTTTTTCCCAAACTTCAACCTAAGGATCATTCATTAGAAAACCAAGACATTTATGTATTGTTGAACAGTATAGTCCAAGCATAAGGTAAATTCTAATCCCGAGGATTTTAAATCTGGATGTACAGGAGGCTCACCTGCAGAGTAAGTTACTCTAAAAACCATGGGTAAGTCTCAGTCCCCAAGAACTCCAACAGAGTAGATAAAATCTGGTCTCCCTAGACTTAATGAGCAATCAGGGTGGAGAACTAGTTGTTTAAAAGAGCCCAACATCACTTCTTAACGGTACAGAACTACCCTATTTCTGGTCGTTCATCTAATCCACTTTTAAGACTTTTTCTTTTTCTTTTTAGATTGTTTGAGAGAGAGACAATGAGAAAGAGTACAAACAAGCAGGAAGGGGAGAAAGCAGCAGACTCCCTACTGAGTAGGAAGCCCAACACTGGCCAATCTCAGGATCCCAGAATCATGACCTGAGCCAAAAGCAGCCCCTTAACGAACTGAGCTACCCAGGCACCCCACCCTCCCCACTTTCAAGACTTCTGAAAGAAAATTTCCATTACCCACCTACAGGGTCATGTTTCTCACTCATTATCATCATCCTATGATTTTACATCATCAAATACTTTAATCCAACTATTTTAAGGTAAAGAGAAAGGAAACTTTAGACAAAATTTCAAACAACTTTTATTACCAACTGTACTGACCTGCTCAAGCAACACTAACTCTTTTTAAGGTATCTAACTGAGGGGGGGGCACCTGAGTGACTCAAGCTGGTTAATGTTGCCTTAAGCTCAGGTCATAATCTCAGGGTCCTGCGATGGGATGAGGCTCCCCACTCAGCTGGCAGTCTGCTTTTCCCTCTCCTTCTGCCCCTCCCCCAGCCCGTATGCTCTTTGTCCTCAATAAATAAAATCTGTAATTGATAACAAAAGTCTCATATCCATGCTGTTCACTAGATGGAAATGCCCCATAAACTAAACATGGAAAATAATGTTTGTTTCAAATGCCCTCTGAATTAAGATATGTATTTTTTTAGTCACTCTGCTCTTAAGTATGATTATAAAAATCATAACATGTAACGCTATCAAAAAAAAGCTCCAAGTTCAATATTAAAGTGTAGTAATTTGGGGCGCCTGGGTAACTCAGTGATTAAGCGTCTGCCTTCTGCTCAGGTCATGATCCTGGAGCCCCAGGTCAGGATCCCTGGGCCCAGGTTGGGTTCCCTGATCAATGAGAAGGGAGTCTGCTTCTCCCTCCCTGCCACCCCAGGCTGCTTGTGCATGTGCACTCTAATAAAATCTTTAAAGAAAAAAAAAAAAGGTAATTTAAGGACTTTTAGAATGCACAATAGTTTAGGATTTAAATTAAAACCTACTTAAATGTTGTTACAGGACTACGATTTCAAATTTTCAAATTATAAGAAAAGTTCCTGATTATACTACCAAATCTAAATCCCTTAAGTCATTTTGACTAATCATAATAAATATAAAGATCTGCTTAAAAATTATCTCTAAGACTTTAGATGCTAAATAAAATATCCTCCCCCACCAAGTTAACAAATCAAGTAATTTACAAGAAACAGCATTATTTACCTTTAAGCTTCCAAATTTAATCTGACTTTAATAAGGAATAGTTTGTGAACAAAGACAAATATTAAATCAAGTGAACTAAACTGATTTAACTCCTAAGAGAAAGGTGGAATGGACTTTCATTGGTAAAAGAATATCTGAAGGAAATCCTTCACACTGGTCTGAAGATATGATTAAAAAGCTACTATGAGTAAGAGTATGTGCCTCACTCCACCAGAAGCAAAAAAAGGACTTGGATCTCACTTTGCATCACTTCAAAAATTACTGACAAAAAATGTAATCTACCATACTATCTCCTTCCCTAAAACTAAGAAAGTAGTACTCTGCCTTCCTTTAAAAAGAGCAGGGAGGAGCCAAGCTTGGCTTAAGCAATCTACACAAGTTGGTAATTTTGCTCTTATTCCTCCCTACCTTTAATATCTTGCAATATTATAGATTCTGATTTAATATAAAATTATAGGTGCAATGTACATTTTGACTCCTGATCCTTTTTAAAGGCAGACTCCTATCTTTATTAGCCCACTTGTGCTTTTCTTAAAAAATTTTGTCACCTTTTAATCTTTGAAAGTCCTTAGAACAATTTTTACAGTTCAAGTAAGAATACCTGAGTCTCTCTGTCACGAATAAATAAAATCTTTTTAAAAAAAATACCTGAGTACTGTAAAATATATGAAATCTTCCACAAAAATAATGTAGCAATAGTCATTAACATTCATAAGTCAACTCAGAAACCATTTATGTTAAGCAAACTATCTTGATCATCTAAATCAAAATGATTATGATCATTTTAATTCACTATGTAGTACACATTAAGGGTATAATTCGTTGTTTGGGAAATATTTATCAAATAAATAGCTTAATTTCAAAAAGCAAAGGACTGTTTTCCAAAACACAGATCTAGCTTTGTACAGTGTACAAATCAAAATTTCATCTGATTGTAGGAAACATGCCACTTGAATGTTATGAAATCAAGTCATATAGTTTCTATTTATAAACTTCAGAACATCCTTGAATTTAAATTGTAAAGGTTAATTACATTCAGAAATAACAGCCAATTTGAAAATTAGAAGTTTGTATTGAGCCACTCAGCCCGGAAGGTCAAAGTAGTTGGTAAAATGAGGATATTTAGCTTTGAAGCATAAAAATTTCTTAAAGGAAATTAATTATGTCAAACATATAAATGATGAATCCTCATAAAGAACTGTGATAGCCAGCTGCAAATGTTACATTAAATACACTAAATTTCAAGTGTATCTAATAATTAGGGGGAAAAAAATCCAACAAATTTGTTATTGCAGCATTCTAAATCTCAATCGTTTAAATACAATTTCACACCTTAACTATTTTTTAAAATCAACTTTCTGCATTTATATTGTTAATATTTTAGAATGTCTACCATGAAGAGTCAGGTACACTATATACCACGTTATTCACATCATTTCTTCACAGAAACAGCATTTCTAATGCAAAAATTACAAATTATTCCCTGTATATAGGAATAAGATACTCTTTAATATTATTTTTATCACATAATTAAGGGCTAAAAGTATTTTAGGAGATTAGAAACTCCAAATACTTTCTGTAGATTAGGAGACTAAGGTCCAGAGTGAATGTCAAGATTACAGGGCTAATCTACACTTAGAAGCTCCCCTCCAGATTGCTGAATCACAGCTGTATTTTCCACTCTTATCACACACACCACTCATTAATGAAGATGGAGATGTCCTCTTACTATCTTTTCCCCCTTACATCTCTCAACAAAAAATCTTGGAGGAGAGAAAGTAAATTAATTGGTTGTCCAGACCAAATTTTTAAGCAATCAAAAAACTACAAATAACAGAGAATTCAACTTGGAAGAAAATTTATATTCAAAGTTACCTGTATCACATAATGTAGCCTCTAAGTAGCACACCATAGTTCATGGAAACGTAATTAACTATGAGCATGGCTGCTTTCATTTCTGTGGAATTTCAGGTACTTTTTTAAACAGTACCATAGTGACAAATGCAATGAAACATTGTCACCAATTCAATCAAGTGACTTTTATGATTTAATAGTTCAAAATGCCAAAATAAAAATGTGTCACCTTAGTTCTTAGGCAAAATACAGTTAGTTAAGTAAATGTTACTTTTTAAATGAAATTTGTCCATTACTTTTGTCTATCAAACATACTGCCCATTTTACAAGCATGACTCAAGCAGCAAATAAATATCAGAACACTGAATATAAGCATCATCATGAAGGTCAAAATACATGTTAAGACCTTTTTAGAATGTGACTTGCTATAATCCTTTATCTTGTTGGTGATAAAAGGGAAGCTGTATTCCACTAGATTCGGGGGTTAATTTAGAAGTTACTACACCATTTAGATTTTTTTAATATTTATTGATACTGGAGTAAAAAAAAAACAAAAATAAAAATCATCATTTAACATTTCTAACCTTGACCATTCATTTTTTATTTTAATGGGTCAAACTGCATATTCGGTAGCCATCAATTTATTGCTGATTTATACTTAAAATTACATTATATTTCACATACACTTGTGTCTAAGAGGACAATTCTCAGTTTTTATAAGAGTGCCCAATTCTCAGTTTTTACACTAGTACCCAACCACAGCTGAATACTAATCTAATATCCTATCATTTGCATACAAGAAACCCTAACCTTGGCATTTGTGTTAAAGGTTAAAATGAAAAGCGTTTGTATGTTAGATCTTTAAAAACACTATAGTTAAAAGTCTAACATTTAGTTTTCTTTTGCACACTAAAACATAAACAAATTTGATCAAATCGCAAAATGACTGAAAAGCAAAAATTAAGCTAGAACAAACGCAACAAAAAGATTACCTTTATCACCTATTTCAATGAATACAATAAGCCAACATCAAGATATAAAAGATTTCAAGGGTAAAGATAAATTTGCCTTCATATTACTTATTTGGCTACTCTTAAAATATCCTAAGATATCTCTTTACTATATATACATATTTCTCTGCTAAATCCCTAACATCAGCTTGACAGTAATTTCCATGTTCAGTGTTAACTCAAAAAGAACATTTCTTGAAAAATATTAGCAGACGTATTTTTTTCATTCACATATCTAGTTTTAAGGTACCAAACTATCCCATACATGTTGAAAATTATTTTCCTTTTATGTTTTAAAAATAATTTTACTAAGCTATACATTACAAGTCTCTTTAGATGTATCATTCTAATTTCCTATAAGGTAACTCATTTTAGTACTCGTTTGAAAACAAAATCATAAAGACAGGTAAAATATATTAAATCCATTAATAAGAACTGAAATGTGAAAAGTGTCTTCAATTTTAAAAATATACTTCTTTTAAGAACTTGTAAGATCAGCAAAGGGAAAATTCTAGGCCCTTTCAAAAACCTGATCTAGATCGTCAAAAAAAATGGCTTAAGAATTTCAGATTATAAAGCCATATGATTCTGATAATTCAACTACTGATTTAACCATAATCCTGATGCAATATAATACTGAAAAGTACTGAATGTCTTATTGCTGATACAAATTACATACATCAACTGTTTTAATAGAATACAAAAGTGCTTTGATGTAAGGTAAAGGAATTTGATGGGCTTTTTTCTCATCTCCTTTTTGAGATAAACAGTCTACATTTTACGTTTCATTGACAAACTTCAGTGATATTTTCCTTCTCAAATGTTGGTAGCTATTAAATTTCAGATGTTGAATAAAACATTTACTTACTTGCTATATAAAATAAAGATTTTAGCAAATATTTCCTTTTATACTCAAGGATAAAACTCCATGGATCTCAGTCTTCAAAATGGCATACCTTTTGGAGGAGAAAAAAAAAACACACACACCAATATTCTAAACAATTTATTGATGGAACAACAAATAGCAAGTAGGAGTAAGTGTTTTAAAACTTAATTGAGAACAAAAACTAAAATCCATGCTCACAAAACTTGATTTTTAAAATGTTCTTCCCTAAAATGAACTACTATGAATATTGACTAGCTCAAATTTTCCAACAAATTCATCTTTAAATACTTAAAAAATTAGTTTGCACAGTACACTAGAGAATTAGAAAGAAAAAAAAATGTATCTTTGGTTCAGTTTTTCTCAAAATATAATCAGTCTTTTCTTGTTCCCAAAATTAAACAAAGGCTTAAGAGACCTTCAGTATTTTAAACTATTCAAAAGGCACATTAAGTTACAACGGCTAAGCACATATACTTTTCATTCGATAGACAGGTTTAAAGGTTTGGCAAAATTATTTCAGCTATTTAGTATATTCATACTTATCATCACTATTTACTAGAAATATAAATTACCAAAGAGCAAAATAAAAACCAAATAGGCTTATTTTTAAGTGAAAGTAATAAAAATTTATGGTCTTACCTCAAATAAAAGGGCTGTATTTGTTCAGAACCATCATCAACCAATTTAATTTTAATCTTGTTAAGTTACCTTAAAAAAAAAAAAAAGATGATATCAACGTTTTGATTTTTAAACATTTCCTGGCCAAAGTTTCAGTGTGATAAAACAATGAGAAAATATTCCAAATACACGATCTATGGGCAAATTTGGGGACAGCTTAAGACACCACCTTTACATTTAACGCTGAAGTTATTTCTTAGTAACACATCAGTCTTTGTTGTCCTCATCTTTTAGTGGCATGGACAAACACTAGATATTAAGGCACTGAGATTAAATAAACTACAGAAAATTCACATCTTCAGACAGATTTAGGATTATAACCTTGTTTTTTATTTTTTCTTTTGATGCCAGGCAATACACAAAAGTTTGCCATTTAAGAACCGAAATCATCTTAAAATTTCCATTACCATCTAGAAAATACCTTTTACAATTATAAGCAATTAAAAATGAACTCCTCCAGGAGAAATTGGTCAAGTTAAAATGGCTACTGGTTACTTTAAATTTTTAAACCACAAGTTATTTGATCTCACCAAGTGGGATATGAGCTTTGTCTTTTAAGCAAGTCTAAAACATGTAGTATCTATGACCTTTATTCAATTTCAAACCAGGGTCTTGAACATTTTTCAGTCTCTCCCTTCCCCCATTTCTCCCGTAAAAAGATCTTATGAGGTTAAAATGCTAACAATTATTTTGCATTTCACCATTCAAAAAAAGGAGCCCGAAAAAAAGATTCCGAATATACATTTAAAACTACTTTCAGTGTTCACAAATTTCAAAAATGTTGTTTTGGAGAACCAACATTGGCACCTAAGATTCTGTAAAATCAAGATATGCGCAACTGATGTAACATGTAGGACTATATGAATGCTATTCAGAACATAAAACAATTTCACTGACAAAATTACCATCAGAAATACAGTGGATTACACCAGTAACTCTGATTTTCTAGGTACTACGTAAATCTGCCCGACACTATTTTTACGCAGATCTGCACCTTTACAACACAACAGCTACCGCAGGATGAAGACAAATATATTCTAAAATACACAAAGGTCTGTGCATTTGTGGTCTGTTCTTCAAATCATTAAACTTAAATCCCCCCTCGATTTTCTTTTAGACTCAGAACTACAGAGGACTCCGCAAATTTCTGAGAAAGCAGGATTTATTATTAAACTACTGTTCCGTTGTGAGCATATCTAGATTTTTATGCATGCAACAAATGCAACAAATATGGCTCCTCTTCATCGCCCATTACCGAGAACAGTCCTACTTTAATATTTACACTGCGAGAAAGTAACTTCACAAAGAGATTTGGCGTCAGAATATTCCTTTGTAAAAGTTTTGTCGACCGTGGCTTGTGCTAACGTACATAATTTCTTAAAAACAATAAAATGGTGCTGACTTCAACTTTTAGAAGTCCAGGAACTGATCCAAGTACGTTCTAACATTCAGGTGTGATTAAGTTACAGATAACGGCTCCTTACGACCTTTTAAAAAGTACCAAACAGTCTATTTAATCGTTATTCAAACATCAAGAATGTCAGCTCATCTTGGCATAACTAATCGATAACATAAACTATCTTGGTCAAACGTCATCGTCTAGCACTGAAATTAAAACCGATTTCCACCACCAAACAGCCTTGACGGCACAGTAAACTTATCTTCGTAATTTCTGAAATACCAGCGGCACTTCTCCCACTTGCGTTTTTAAAAGACAACCTTAACGTCATAAGGGTTTTTAATAAGCAGCAAGTACCTTCCCAGCTCTAACACTGCAGCCGTTTTCAAAATCGGCTTGCAAAGAGTTAAAAGCCAACACCCAAAAGGGGGGAAAAAAAAAAAAAAACAAGTTTTATTTTTGTTTAAACGTAGTCGGGCTTCCATTGTTCTCTTAAAATTCCACCATGAAGAGGAGCTCCCACCTCGCCGGAAAGGGGTTAAAAAGCTCCCCCGTTGGAGAACCTGAAAGGAATTTTTGCCCCTCACCCTCCACAGCAAAATAACTCACCCGGACAGAAAGGGGCCGTGGTGGCGCGGTCCCCGTCGGGCTCCCGCCTGCGCCGCCGCCGCCGCCGCCGCCGCCGCCGCCGCCGCCGCCGCCCCTCTCCCGGCCGGGCTGCGGCGGCCAGGCCGGCGAGGCGCCCCCCGTGGGGTCTGCGGCGGGCCCCGCGCGCCCCCGGCCCGGTCCCCGGCCCCGGCCCCGGCCCCGGCCCCGGCCCCCGGCCCCGGCGCCTCCCGCGGGGAGAGCCAGCAGGCGCCGCCGGCGGGGCCGCCCGGGGAGAGCCGGCCGCCGAGGCCCGGCCCGCCGCCCCCTCCTGCTCGCGCGCTCAAGGACATTTTGCTTTTCCTCCCAAGGACAAAGGACAATAAAAGGAGCCGGGGAGCCACTCACCGGGTCCGAGGCGGCTGTCGGCACCTCCCGGGCGCCCGCACCCGCGTCCCGCGCGGGGCCGCCCGCCCGAGCCTCCCGCCCGCGCCGGGCCGAGCCGCCGGGGCCCCGGGGAGCCTCCGCGGCCGCTGCCGCAGCGCCGCTCTCGGCGTCGCGGGCCCGGCCGCCCAGGCGCCTCGGGCGCGGGCTCCGACGCCGGCGCGCGGCCCGCCTCGCCCCAGCCGCGGCCGCTTCGCTCCCGCGGGCCCGCGCACCGCCCGGGCGCAGCTCCCCGCCGGCCGGCGAGCCCTGCGGCCGCGGCGGAGCGCCTGACAGCTCGGGGTGCTGCTGCCTCTCCGGCCATCTTGTGCCGTGTGTGTGTGGTGTCTCTCTCCCGTCTCCTCTCTCGGCTTTACTCCCTCCTCCTCCTTCCCCCCCGCCCCACACACCACACAACATGGCCTCTTCGCTGCGGCGGCGGCTGCGGCGGCAGCAGCAGCTCCGCCGCGCTCCTGCCCGCTCCCCTCCCCCACTCCCCGCCTCCCGCCCGCAGCCCCGGGTCCCAGCGCGCACGCGCGCCGCCGCCCGCCCGCCTCGGCCATTGGCTGCGCGAGCTTCCTGCCACCCCTTCCCGGGAGCGGCCTCACGCACGCTCGCAGGCGTCTTCCTCCCTCCTGACAACAACCACCTCGATTCTATTGGCTGGTTGTGCTCCCACCCCCTCGGCTGCAGGCGCGCGGATAGGCTGACATTACTGCCGCTCACCTCCCGTCGGTGTTTCTGCTTTTCTTGAGGGGCACCAGCCCGCGATTGGCTGGTGATGGAACCTCTGGGTTTGGAGCTGGGCTGTTGCCTCGCGCCCCGCACTGCGGACCCCTCCGGCCTGGCTGGGGAAGGGGGGGGGAGTCGGGGGCCGGTTCCTGGCGCCGCGTAGGCCCGGGTAGAGCCATTAGTACGGAGACCTCGAGGGGAGGGCTGCACTTCTGGAAAAAGCTCGGAATCCGGTGTGTCTGAGCTCAGATTTTGGCTTCTTTTTTTTTAGAAAAAGGAAAATGACTGACAGGTTGACGAGCAAACAAGCCGCATCTTGAGCTGTAGAACTCAAGATTTTTCTTCCCACCACCCGGTCCTTGCCTAAGGGTCAGCAAGTCAGGACCAGTGGTGTTACAGCCTAGCGGCTCCCCCTAGCCCGTCATCCACGGGTAGTTGCCGTCTATTTGAGGGCCAGTGACCTTCCTGCGGTTGCCCACTTACATGAGACAGCCTGTTCCCAGGTCCAGTGTCCTTAGAACTTCGTGAATCAGTGTTTTACAATCCCGGTTGGACCCCATACCACTTCTGGGCACTTATTTGTTTAAAGGCGTAGTTTTAACCTGAGCAATCACAGTCTACCTGTCCAGCCTTCTCCCAGAGAATTCAGCGAAACAAACTTCATTTTCTTTAGGGAAATCTCACTTTTTTTTTTTTCCCCCACTAGGTCTTCCCACTTTGATCTATCTGGAAGCAATCTCGGCACTCAACGGAATAACCGAAAAACCTAAACTTTCCTGAAATGGATGAGAAAAGAAAAAGTGGCTCTCACCGGCTGCCAGCATTTTAGAAGTCTTGCTTCTTTTGGCAAGGGACCTTGGGAAAAGAAAAGGAACACCGGAGGCTCTTAGTTTTAACAGATTTCTTTGAGAGACTGGTTCTTGGGGGCAACTCTTAAATTCTCTTGAGACTCAGCCCCCGAGTTACACTCAGTATGTTAAATATTCAGTCAGGCCTAGGAACAATCTCTGGCCATTCTTTTAAAAATGGCACAGTTGTTTATTGACTTGGGCATCAGCTACGTAGGGCGGAGCTTAGAATCTAGGTCTCTTGACTTAAAGATCTTAGGGTTCCTTCTATGCAACTTGGCCACCCTTCTTAGCAGTTCAACTTGTGCACTAAGTGGGCACACAGAGAGAGTACTTCTTTAACTGAAATTAAATTTTCTCCATTTAATTTCCAAGAGACATTCCCTTATAGTCTAGCTTTGAGCCCTGTAGGCCTGCAACAAGACTTTTTTTTCCTCTGAAATAGTCCCACCCTGAACCCTTTTTCTTCATTCTTCTTGTGTGTGCTTGCTATGCTATCATTCACTACCTTTCCCTTCCTACCACTACCTGAAATCCATCTATGATTCTGCTTTTCCATATTCTTCACCAAGTGCTCTGTGCCGGCGATGCAGGCCTGAACAGGCCTTAATTAAAAATAGTAAGGGCCAAAAAGCATTGAGTTAGCTATGTGCCAGGCATTGTTCTAAGTCCTCATTGTAGGTTAACTTGGCACCCCTGATGAGAGACTATTGTTACTCCCCTGTATTTTCTTTATTAGGAAGCTGAGCCACAAGTTTAACTTGCCCAGGCTCACACTGCTGAGGCACACCAGAAGCAGGCTTGAGCCCAGGTGCTCTGGCTCTAGACCTATTCCCTCTGCATCTCCCAGTTTCTTTTTGAATACTGCCCCTCTGCCAGATAGGTTCAGTTGGCTCTTCCATCTTTCGGAGTTGTCTGATTTGCCAGCTGCTCCATCTTCTACTTTGTTGAAATGTTTCACCTTCCAGATTGGGCTTCCCTCCAATTTGGGAGATGTCAGGTCCATTCTATCTGAATTTCCACACGTAGGCCCCACCCTAGTACTGTCAATCTCCTGGCCTGCCACCCCGGCACCATCTACCTCTTGTTTTATTCCATCTTTGACTGTAGACCCCCACAGCTCAACTGTGGGGTGACTCCCCTTTATGAAGATACAGCTTGGGTGGCTTACAAAAAAACAGCTTTCTTCTGAGCTTCCATCCCACACAACATATTCAGAGAAGGCCCTCATCTGCCATGTTGAAACTTTATTCCCTGCCACACACATCAGCCATGATTTCTTTTGCCATATCTTTACCATGTCTTTAGCCATCCCTTGTTAAAGTTAGACTAGCTCTGTCCTAAGTTAAAAGCACCTTTTATAAAAAAAAAAAAAAAAAAAAAAGTTAAAAGCCCCTGACACCTGGAGGACCTCATCCTGTCCCCTTCCCTGTCCCTTTTCATGCAAAGTGATCTGCCAATGAACAGAGAGGAGATCCCTTCCTCCCTCCCCCAGTCACACTGGCTCCTATTACTGCTGTTTCTTTACAGGTGAAAATGAAGAGCCCTTACCCTGGGCTCACTTAACGGAAAGACCTCTATGTACGCTCTGAGTAGTTCTGGTCCTATGTAACTGTGACCAAATGAAAACATGGATGGGCAGAGAATATTTCTGTAAGGATACAAGGACCTGTTTGCACCAGTTGCCTCCAGGGAGACCTCAGAAGCAGAGAATGGGGTGGGAACGTCACTTTTCCCTTTAGACCCTTGGTGACTTTTGAAATTTGAACCATGTGAAAGTACTACCTTTTTAAAGAAGAAAGAAAAGGAAAAAAATGAAATTCAAACAATCTGCTGAGCTAAAAACTAACACTGTAAGGAAGATAACTTTTTGTGACATCTGCATTTATTACAATAAACACCTTTATTTTTTTTTTAATGGAATAAAGGTCACACCACACTCAGTATCTCCAGGGATGTGAACATCACCTAAAATGTCCCCAGTTGATAATAAGGACTCCTGGTACATAAAAATGGGGGCAGCAACTTTCATTCCCAATATAGCATGGCCTCACACACTGCAGAACAGGACTTCCCACCATGCCCCCTACTTCCCGGAAGCTCTCCAGGTCTGTTGCCCTGTTTCTACCCTCCTGTCTTCCTGTGGCAATTAAAGAAGTCGAGACACCAGTAAAGTCAACTTCTCTCTGTTTTCCATCCTCTGAGGCCACGTTGGCCTGGGATGTCTCCCTTCAATGACCAGCCCAGCTCATGAAGGAGACTCAACAGAAATTAAGGATGTCCTTGACTCTAGTCAGAGACACAGTTTTCAAATACAGACCTTTCCAGATTCCTGTAGTTCTGCTCCTGCTGTCTGCAGTTTCTCTTGCCACTCATATTCTGCATAATTTACATGCAAACTCTGTCTTGCTTCTGTACACACGCCCCTCCCTCTTCCCATGTGGCAGTCTTTCTTTCTTTTTCCCAGGGTACCTCACACATAGGATTGACATTCATTTGATAGTCAAAACATCCTTTCCAAACACAATTATAATAACGTGCTCAATAATGAACTTCTTCTGTGTTTGATGTACCGTTTTGCAAGCTAGGGATGCCAGAGTACCTGTTCTCATGGAGCTTATATTCTAATGGGCAGAAGTCCATAAATTAGAAAATACCAGGTAGTGATAAGTGCTATAGGGGACCTAACTACAGTTGAGTGGTCAAGAAAGGCCTCTCGGAAGAGGTGATATTTAAATTGAAGCAGGAAGTACACAAAGGAAGCAGTGTTGTGTATAACTGCATGTAAGTTTCAGGCTAAGATGGCAGATGGTATGCATGCAACTAATTTTGCTCCAACCCAAAACTGCTCTAAACAGATTTTCTTCTTTTTTTTTAAACTTTCTTTCTTTCTTTCTTTCTTTCTTTCTTTCTCTTTTTTATATTTAAGTTATAAACTCATAAGGAAAGGAGAACAGAAGAGGAAAGAACAACACAATTTCAGAAGCTGAAAAATAGATGAATGAGTGGTTAACTGATTTAGGAGACTTGAGAAAATGGACCTGCAACCCAACTTATACTGGAAATACCTCAAAAGGCTCAGAAACTCACAGAATCAGGGATCTTTGGGCCTGAGGGTAGAGGCGTAGGCTAGAAGAAGGAGAACTGAATGAAAGCAATTTGAAAAGCTGCATTCCTGGGATCCCTGGGTGGCCCTGGGTGGCGCAGCAGTTTGGCGCCTGCCTTTGGCCCAGGGCGCGATCCTGGAGACCCGGGATCGAATCCCACGTCGGGCTCCCGGTGCATGGAGCCTGCTTCTCCCTCTGCCTGTGTCTCTGCCTCTCTCTCTCTCTCTCTCTCTCTCTCTCTCTCGGTGACTATCAAAAAATAAATTAAAAAAAAAAAAAAAGAAAAGAAAAGCTGCATTCCTGCAGGGGTGGGATCCCACACCCCATCCCTGATCCTAGCAGAAAATTGGAGGTTTATCCTGCAGGAAGAGTCCCTGGTCTAGAGGATGCCAGGCACACTGAAGGT